ATCTGACAACAGAAATGCAGACCTGCAGGCAGGGCCCCTTGTCCTGACCTGTCCCGGCGGACAGCTCCCGAGAGGGAGGCTGAGACGCCAGCACCAGCATGGGCCGGGCCCCAGGCACAGTGCACCTCCTCCACCAGGTCCCTGCCGGCCGGCCCTGGACAGCAGCTCTGTTCTCAGTCCTTCCTTGGTTAGAGCTGAGAGGGCTGAGGAAATGGCTCCCCCATAGCCGGGGTTCACCCAGCTCTCATCCTCAAAGCAGATGGGGTGCCAGGTGTCAGCCACAATGACGTCATGACTCCTACTTTTTTAATCTTCACTCAAGAATACTTTCTCCATTGGTTTTTGGAGAGACAGAAACACATCAACTGGTTGCCGCCTGCAACCCAGGTATGTGCCCTTGACCAAAATTGAACCCGAGACCCTCAGTCCTTGGGCTGATGCTCTAACCACGGAGCCAGACTGGCCGGGCTCCCTCCACTACTCTTCATCCATCCAACTCAGTCCCCTGGAGGTGTCTGTACACGGACCCATCAGGCCTCCCTCCGCCTCCATGAGGCTCCTGTGTAGGAACTGCACCCTCAGTCACAGTTCCCAGCCTGAGTGCAGGGCATCTGTCACATGACCCCATGGCCCTCACCAAAGTCATCACAGTGACGCCCAGGCACACAGGCCAACGCAGGACCCAGAGTGAGCACCGCAGGAAAGCAAAAAATGCCACCAAACTGATGTTCCAACAACAAAGACAAGCCCCCAAGGGGTGTCTCCTGCATCCCAGCTCAGCACAGGGGAGCACAACCAGGTGACAATGGCAGTTAAGTGCTTGCTGATGCTCGGTGACTCCTCCATCCAGCTCCATGAGCTGGGTGTTTCTGGGTTTCCTGTTGTCATGACACTTGCTTTAGAGAAGAGAGTCTGGAAAGAGCCTTTCTTACAAAGTCCACAGATCAAAACTCTGCCAACAAGAAGCTGACTCTTCTGGGTTCTTACAGGTCAGCAGCCCCTCTGCAAGGCCCTCTTGTCACAGCCTCAGAAGGGAGCATGTCCACAGGGGGGTCAGTGTGACCACCCGGCCGTCCACCATTTCCCAGACAGAACACATTTCTGTGCATGCACGAGAAGGGGCCTGGAGGTGGGCCGGGCAGGAAGGACAGTCAGGGTTAGGGAGCAGGTGCAGGTCTAAGCCAAGGGAAGACCTGGGGCATCAGACTCCTAGGAGTCAGAAGAAACGACGCGCACAGGACCGAGCCCCGTACAGGAGAGGACAGAGCTGACCAGCCCCACAGGTTCAGCAAAAGCACGACTGGGTGCCCAAAAGGCAGGAGATACCCCTAAGGTCACAGCACCAAAGATCCCCACAGCCCACCTGCCTCTCCTGGGTCGGGTCAGACGAGCGGGAATCCACTCAATGAAATACAGTGAAACGATCTCTGAGGTCACTCACTGTCCAATTCCACGTACAGAACTACTCAAAGTGACAAAGCTAGAAAACGGTCAGGACGGGGGTGGGGGTGACTCGGACAACCAAGGGGGCTCTGTGATGCCGAGGCCACGGCAGGCAGTCTCCACGTGAGACAGAACCACACACCACACGTGAGCACTCGAGGCTGACGTGACAGGGTCTGGCTGCTGTGGTTACAGCCACTGACTCGTCGGTGCAACTTCTGAATCTGCATTTCAAAGTGAAAAAGCACCTGGAAGCTCTGAAGCAGCAGCAGACGGCCTCTCAAAAAGCTTTTCACCGAGGCACCTCCACAAAGGCCTGCAGAGAGTTCTACCCACACCCCTCACCTCCCTGCTTACCTGCCAGTCCTGCTGCTTAGCTCACAGTTCTCATCTCCACAGAACCCCCTCAGGGTCACTCTACATGAAAGCAGAGAAGGCCCAGCACACACACAACCAACCGGGGCCTTGAGAGCAGGGGCACCAGTGGTTTTCAAGTGGGTTCTGTAAGGCCGCCAAGGAGAGCAATCGAAGACCACTGGGCTGGCCAGTTCAGTCACTTTTGAGGAAAAAGATGGGGAGTGTTTCAGATCACAAAACAAAGGCAGATCAAATGCAACGTGTGATGTCTGCACCCTGGTTTTAATCAGCGTAAGGTGTTACGGGTCACTGGAGGAATTGAAAGGCCTGCGTATCAAACCACGAGAAGTCAGGTGAGTTCTCCAGTTGTGATGATGGACTGTAAGGGGTCTGTGCACCCAGACGACGAGGGGTCAGGACTTGACTATGTCGTCTGTAGTTAACATCAAGGTTCAGGAATACGTGACCACACACACACAGGCAGAATCTACGTGTGACCAAACACGCAGGCACACACGTGTGGAGAGCAGCAGAGAAACAGTACGTGCCCCAGGGTCACGGGGACACCACACCTCCCTAACCTGGGGAGTCTGCCACCCGGACACTCACAGTCAGGATGCTCCTTTTCGCAAAGGTCAGACTTTGCAGGAGGCACTGTCCTTCTATTTAAACACCTTTCATCCCACTTCTCCCTCCAGTTCTGGGTTCCTGTTCCCCCATCAGGGAACAGAACCTGGGCTCTGTCCAATCACAGACCCCCAACTTGTGAGACCACTTGTTTCCCATCCTCCTGACGGGCTCCCCCCAGGCAGCCTGGCTCCCAGATGCATCATTTAACTGCTTTACACCCAGAACCCCAACTCCCACCCTCCTGACTCCCACTGGCCCCTCTCTGCAAGGTCTCAACTGGAAACCAGTCCAGCTTGAAAGTGCACCCCACATGCCCTCCACCCCACGTGACCGGCCCTCAATGCCAGACGGCCTGGGACTGCTGGTGTTCCAAGCCACGCGGCACCTCCACCACCTCACGGCATTATTTCTGTTTGTGGAGAATCCCATGTATTGAGTTGTTACATGGTCACAGCATCAGGGGCACTGAGAGACCAGCGAGAGCAGTCATGGTCACACACGTATAATTGACAAAGGGCAGGTTTCCCAGCTCGCCCGCTTCTCGGAACCAGCCTCAGTTCTTGCCAAGACCTGTGAGCAACTGAGCGGCTTCTGTCTGTATCTAAAACAGAAACACACACAGCACAGCAGAGGTCAGCTTGTGAAAGGTAAGGTCCTAGGTGGACTGCAGTTCCCAAGTTTCCAAAACCCAGGGAAACACATCATAGGAGCAGAATCTCCCAGCAGTGCCTTGGGGGGCTCTGAGAGACTCCACCCCAGGACCACTGCCGTCCCTGGCGTTTTCGAAGCCTCAGGTGATCAGCTGCATGTCACAGGATTACGGTGGTGCTGCAGCAGGGGCTCCGCAACACCCGTAATTCATGCCTGGGCCACGCTGCTGTTTTCAACCGCGCACTCGGACACCTCACGTTTCCACGGAGGGCTCTTCGCCGAGCAGAGCCCCACGGGAACCCCTCCCTCCATCGCTGCGGATGGTACCTGCTTGTCCTCCTCGGTGCGGGCCGGGTAGTCCTTGGCCTTCAGCAGCCAGAAGGCAGCGAGCTTTCTGTTGTGTAGCTTCAGGTACGTCTTTCCTAACAGAAGCAAGTTTTTGCTATAGAAGTTTGGATCCACTGTTCATAAGAAAGAAAAATTTATCTCAGATGAAACAGCACTGCTCTTATTTTTAAAAGCTTCATTTTTTTCTGGTCTAAATCCCCATGATTCTTGTGGTAACTGACCAGCTAACGGGGACACTCTTGTTCAGCTGTTCCTCTCTCCAGGATGTGTAGCAGTCAAGGTCACGGAGCACCTACAGGGCGCGAGGCTCTGCTGCGCACCTCTCATCTGTGGCAGGTGGGGTGCGAGGGGACTGCCCCTCACCACCTGTGCCCCGGCTGCACCCTACGGGCTGAGAACAGCACATGCCCTCAACACACCTCCTGAGTGAGAGAAATCGAGACACCACACGCTACACGCTGGACCTGCGTGCGCTGAGTGGGGCTGCCTGCAGGCACATATCAAACAAAATCTCTGCTCTCTTGGAATTTATACTGAAAAGGAGAGAGAAACATGAGCACAGTGAAATGTGATGTGGAAAAGAGTCGACAGGTGTCCAAGTTCTAAAGTGTGATGAGAAACCAGAGCAGCAGCCAACTCCAGGGGGTTACACCTGGGCTGCGCGGAGGGGAGCAGGTGGAGAGCACGGCTGGCCGAGGGCACTGCCAGCGCCAAGTCTACGGAGGAAAGTGCGGCTGCTCTCACACCCTCGTTTACTCTTACAGACTCCGCCTATCTCCCTGCCAATCCTACTTCTGTCTGGGTAGTTCGCCTCCACTGCTCCCTAACCCAAACCTGCTCTACTTCCTTCCTGGGACCGTATCTGCAAGACGTCGCGTGATGCTCAGGTTTCCTCGAGGGAAGTGTGTTCATCCACTCATCCCAGTCAGCAAGTCTGCCCAGGACCAGGCGAAACAGTCCCACCTCCCCTGCGTTTAGCCTCAGACACGTGGACACGCGTTCCCACGGTGGTGAGAGCGCCCCAAGGAGGAAGTTGCAGGTGCTAAGGGCAGAGGCGGGACCCCTAAACCAGACGAGGGCCATAAGGAGGGCTGCCTTGCACATGACCTTCAAGGTAACCCCCAGAGAAGGGTCAGTGACTGAGGATTACTTTAGCTCCAGGAGAGCAAGACCATGTTTAAGGAAATCAATACAATATATTAAAAAGATAAAGTCACTATTTAAAAAAGGAAAAAATATGTCTGCAATTTTTGTCCAGTGCGACTATCCAGAGTGGCGGCCCGGCCTGGCCTGGCCCAGCCCAGCCCAGCCCAGCGGGCCTACTTCTTACTCAAGTGATCGTTACTGAACAAAACCTTAAAGACTGTTTGACGGTGCCCAGTGCAAAGCTGTGTTGGAATAAAGTATCTTTGTTTTAAAATTCCTATTACATATAAAGCGTTCACACAATTTTAACCGTATTAGTATCTGAAATAAAAATATTTTACCTTGTTCTGCCCTTTGAAAGTAGCCTAAGGCCTGTAAAACAGAGAACCCAAACATCATGAAAATGGTTAAAACACTCAATATTACAGAACATTTTCTCAGAATCTATTCCTACGTTACATACAAGCCAAGAAGTCAAGGAAACCCCTTGACATTATGGTCCACTCATAGCACCAGCTAACAGGCCACGCAGGGCCCTTCCAGCCGTAACTCCCAGCACAGCCTTGCGGCTGGGGCAGGGGCGGAGCGTCATGTGCAGCTCGGCTGCTCTGATCTCTTTCAAGTCCCAACAGTGACCACCTGAGAAAACTAGACAGAGCCAAAGCTGCATCTCCTCAGTGACGCATGGTCGCACCTGGGAGTTAAAATCCTTCATCACTGAAATTCCTACATTAACATGACTGAGTCAGAAAGGGCTGATTCTCTCTGACTCAAACTGTTTGTAACACACTGACTGACTGATTTCTTAAAAACACACCTCATTTGTTACAGTGGAGCTGCCTTTTCTCTTAGAATGCTTTCTTTCCAGTAACGATAAGAATCCCCAGCTGCGTGCGGCCACCACCTCTCAATAGGAGCCACGTGAGACTCCTCCCCAAGCTCTCCAGGGAGCAGCGGCTCCTCATCATGAACGAGGACTGGGAAAGCCACTTCCATTGCCCATTTCCTCACTCTCAACATTTTCTGATGAGTAAACCCAAAACGTTTGCCCAGGAATCCCTCTCAAAGTCGTGGTCTCTCTGGCAGGTAAAGGACGAGCTATGCAGAATGTGCCCCTGGAGCACACTGAGGAGCAGGGGCTGTACTTCCTGTCCTGTTGTGACTTTCATGTGGCCCAAGTTTCAAGTGGAAAATGCAGGCAGCTGTTCGCTGTGGGCATCAGAGCCTCCACAGAGAGATGGACCCTGAGTCACGGACACAGTGAAGATTGGGCAGCCACACTGACCAGTCCCCACAGAGCCCTGCAAGTGCCCACATCACACACCTCCTCGTAGGTGGAGCTGGGAGGGGCTGCAAACAGCACATTGGCAATTCTTCTCTGATACCATGGCATCTCGGCAAACGTGTAACACCTGGAATAAAGGAAGGCCACATGTCCAACTACACTTTCTCGCTCAGAGAATCAGCCACCTTAACAGATATACAGGGAGTCCTCTGTTTGTTTAAACAATGTGTTCTGGACACAATATTTAGGGGTTAACACTCATACTGAATTACACAAAGACTGACTACACTGCTCTATCCACCAGGGCGGCCTTGTGGTCAACGTGAACAGGCAGGACAGCAGTGGTAACAGCAGTGCCATCATTGGCCCTGATGCCCACGCTGTCCCAGGTGCTGAGCTCCCCGAGTCCCTCTCCTCTTCTCTCCTCTTTGTCTCCTCTCCTCACAACAACCCAAGTTTCTACAACAGAAAAACTCAGAGAAGTTAAAAAAAGATTAAGAAAAAAGACAAAACTGAACATGAGATGCATAAAAAACGGCAACCAACAGCGTTAAGGGCGTATGTTTAAAAGCGCGAGGCAAACAGCTGCCACCTGAGGACCCTGACCCCTCTCTGGAGCAGGAAAAGTGCAAGACCTTTGGTGAGGTCTGAGCCCACCTTTGTTCACTGGCTTCTGACTCAGTGACCGCAGGTGTCTGATTAGTTTATGTCCTTTGTCCTGCAGAAGACCCCTGAGAACAGTTTGACACAGGCCTGCTTAACTGTGACCTCTTAGGAGACAGTATTTAGCTCAACAGAGGTGAGCCTGTGTCCAGAAAGCCTCTTAACCCAGCAGGTCACCACAGAGCACACTGGACAGGCTATAGGAAACCAGGAGACACCAAGAGCCAGGTGACTCACTCTCAGATTGTCAGATGCACCTGAATGTGGGAAGCAGAGGCCGAGGCTCCCTGAGCTCCCCCCATTTCACTTCTCCTGGTACAGAACAGTCATTCCCAACAGAGAGAATGGAGTCTGCCATGAAGTTCTAATGCCTGTTTAGTCTCAGCACTAAACAGTCATCCTCCTGTATCCATGGGTTCACTTGCCACAGCTTCAGTTACCATGGTCCACCTCGGACCAAAACTACGAAATGGAAAATTCTAGAGATAATTCATGATTTTAAACTGCACACCCTTCCAATCAGCGTGATGAGACCGAAGGTGACTGGCAGAGTCCCACTCGAGACGTGAACCGTCCTGTGTTCAGTGTCCCCACACTGCCGACGATCCACTATGAGTCACTCAGCAGCCGTCTCAGTGCTCACACTGACCGTGGAGGAATCGCAGGGTTGTGCTCAGGCCCCCGATTTTACTTCTAACAGCCCCAAAGCACGAGAGTGGCAATGCTGGCCAGCCAGACCCACCTCAGAGAAGCCATGGAGCTTCCTCAGGTGAGAAGGTGTCTCCCGGAGAGAACAGTCAGGGCTGGGTACCCCCTGCGGTTTCAGGCAGCCACCAGGGTTGTGGACATATGCCCCGTGGATAAGGGGGGGGTGACTGTACTCGTTTCTAAATGGATTCAGTAACAATGTCTAACATGATCACAATCAAATTTAGTATTTTCTAACAACACATGCACAGCTGCTGGTTAATTTAATGGATTAAGCACTCCCGATTGCCAAGAGATATTTTAAAACAGCTTACATGTTTTTTTAAACACTACAAAATAAGATCATACTAAGTACCACTGAAATAGTTATTCAAAGAAGTTTTCTTACCAAACACCCATTAGGTGAATCGAGGTAGCATCTTTAGGGTTCAATTCAATTGCTTTCTAAGAAAAAATGAGAAAGTCAAATCATGTTTTCTAAACAGCAGTGAGAACTGTTTACTGAGGAAGCAGGATGTGAACATTTTTTGCGTCTTCCCCGATAACCACACCAGTTTCTCCCTGATCCTGTAACTGGTCAGATTTGCTTTGGTGCACAACTCATTCTGAGGCTACTATTTCACAGGGTTAAGAAACTGATAACAGAGATTCTCAAGATGACAAAAACATAAAATTTTAAGTGAAACTAATTTAAAAACAGTAAGAATCTATAGGTCTCACTGCTTCTTCTAAATTAAAAAAAAAAAAAAAAAAAAAAAAAAGGAAAAAAAAAAAAAAAAAAAAAAAAAAAA